AGAGAGCATGCCATTACGAATAACACACACACTTGCACTACTCGTTTATTAGTAAAACGTGAACTCAAATGCCTCAATATCTTTGTTGCTATATGTTATTAGAGAACCTGCCTGTAGGAAGTATCATTAATTCGTATTACTGTTTCATGTACAATCGATACCATGCCTATAAGATCCTGCTAGTTTATGTTCTGTTAATTTTCACCTAGAAATCATGTCTATTGAACCTTAATTATCAAATCATCTACTGCTTCGCCTAGATAACATGTTTATAGAGGTAATGGGTTATAAAAATCAAAATTTAATTGTCAATTGCTAGATATCTTCCTATAGGACTATCACTCGCTTAATATTATTCCCTTGTCAGGGCTGGATTCCCAGAATTGTCTTCATTTGTTTAACTCTGCTACTATTAGATATCATGCCTATACGATAATGTCATTTTTCTAAAACAGGAGTCTAAAACCACTATTAACAACAAATGGTCTACTGCCTCCTCGTCTAAACCATTAAAGACAATAACATTATATATACGCGTTTGAATCCAAGGTCACCTAGAAATCATGGCTATAGGAAATTAAATTCCTTAAATCTAAACTTCCTAGCCTGAAAAAATTTATTTTTCGCGTGCATTTGCTGTTTAATTGTGGAGATTAATTTTAGCCTTTGATTGTATCATATGTGAAGTCCAATGTGTTTTGTATGTCGCCTTGTTTTGACATTTTTGAGTAGCCTAAGTAGAGTCTAGAACCGCCCAAAACTTGAGGTCCAACGCCTCCTGGACCATAGGCATGGGACGGGTAGTGCACGAATAAGGCATGATTTAGAATCAACTAGTGCGCTTTACGTAATAACTTAAAGATAGTAATCGGGTAGTAGGAGATGATAGTCTGTGCCCGCTGAATAATACAAATAACACCCCATCTTGAGGGAGTTACGAAGTATTATTTATGTTTCACGGGTTGATCCTTTAGGCTAAAAAACTTAGGACCCCCCATCTTATTCCTATTTATCTTTGAATCAAGTGTTTGTATTTATTCAAAGTCTTTTGATAATAAAACTTCCCAAACTTCTGCTTTTCACTGTCTTTGTTTATCTGACTAATCCATGTAATTCGGATTTGGCTGAGAACCACATTTGTGGACCTCGAAGAGTGCCTAACGCCTTCTCTTTGAGGTAACTTGAGCCCTTACCCAATCTTTGGTAATGTTGACTAGTCAAATAGAGTTATCTGCAAATAGGTGCACTAATGCACCTTAAAAATTGTTAGGCGGCGACTCTTCTCTTTTAATCCTTCCTTTAAAAGAGTTGTCACATGTCGAAACCCGATTTCGTGAGAAAAAGGGCGCGACAACGGTTAGGTCAACTATTACAACCGATCCAAACTCAAATCGCACATATATAACCCATTGATAGAGAATAAAGCCTCAACACAACATTATAAAAACTCACACATCCATAGAGTACCTCGCAGGTTTTAACCCACCTGCTTAGCCTCAAATTTATATCTCTCTATATCCTTTCAAAACCACAACTACTACGCAATCACTTAATCTTCCTGACTCTGAACTCACCAACAAGGCATGAGAACCTAATTCGCTCCACAGTTAAACAACATGAAAGATCCTCCAATACACTCATAACTCCAGACTATACGTCACACCAAGATAGAAATCAAGCACCTAATAGTCCTTTTTACATCTCAAGCAAACTCTTCTCGTCACATTAAATCCATCTGAACAAATCCCGTAGTCACATCATATTCATCATATAGCCATCCAACCACTCATCGAGCCACATATTCTACTAATTGGGACACTATCGGACTTATAAGTCCAAAAGCACATGCTCACACAACCAAAATCCCCGTGCTCAAGCTATAGTCAAAACCCGGCCTCAATTCCTCCAGACTGGTCCATCATCAACATACTGAAATCACATCTCGCACCTCATCCATGGAATCACAAGCAGTCGATGCATAGCTGATACCGAGCGCTTACATGCGCACATGCGTGGAAGGAATTCAAAGAGTTACGCTTTAAGATGAATCAATGCCGCTTGATAAGGAAAGAAAGATGGGAAGTTTATCCTGAATGTCCTGTAGCCTCTCGAAGATAGGTATGGACGTCATCATACCGATCGGCAAGACTCTACTAGACACTTGTTCATGACTCATAGAACCTGTAAACCTAGATGCTTTGCTACCAACTTGTCACGACCCAAAATCCAACTAGTCGTGATGGCACCTAACCCAACTCGCTAGATAAGCCAGTTAACAGAAAACCAATTCAAATGAGATTTATTGAGAGAATAAGAGATAATACAACTGCTTTTATACAAATATTTCCGAAGAACTGGTAGTACAAATCATGAGCATCTAAGATTCAGATTTCTTTACAAAACTGATTTGAATAATTACGACATTTTTTTGAAATGTAAATGAACAGAATTCGAATATAATGCTACCAAGAACGAGTGATATCCATAGCTGGAATGCAGGTACATCTTCTGATCCAGCTTCTGCCCTACGCGACAACAACAGCATCCAACATCTGCACACAAAGTGCAGAAGTATAGTATGAGTACAACCAACCCCATGTACTCAATAACTAACAAACCTAACCTTAGGTTGAAAGTAGTGATGAGATCAACTGGTACATTCTAACTATAGAAATAATAGTACGAAAATGTAGGCATGCTTCCAAGTTCAATAGTTAAACTCAATACAAGAAAATTAGATCAAATCTGAATGATATAAGGAATATGACATCTCTATATATACATGTTGTATGTGATGCACTATAATGGAAGCCGCTTGTACTCGCACTCCCAGAGTACTCAATCACTCAGTACTGTATATGGCCAATCTAGCCCAGAGAAGATCCATCCCCAAATATAAATATCAACTGACAGTCACTCATTCAGTACTGTATAGGGCCAATCCAGCCCAGGGAAGATCCATCCCAAAAAATAAATAACTAGGGAAAGATCCATGCCCAGGGAAGATCCACCCCTCAATATAAATAACTAGGGCGAGATCCATGCCCAGGGAAGATCCATCCCTCAATATAAACAACAACTGCGCTCACTAGGGGTGTACAGACTCCAGAGGGGCTCCTTCAGCCCAAGCACTATAATAAGCCAGATCCACGCATAAATCAATCTAACATGCTGCATCGCGCAAGCCGATCCCATAGTATCACTCACAATCAGGCCCTCGACCTCACTCAATCGTCAATCTCCCAGTCTCTCGGGCTCACAATGCCATGAAACTAGCCCAAAAATGATGATATGATGTATCTATAAATAGCAACAGAGACTGAGATATGATATGAAATGAATGAACATGGCTGAGTATGAAATTATAATTTAAACAAATAAATCAACAGCAATATGACCTCTGTAGGTCTCAATAATAACGTCATATAGCCTCAGCATGATTTTTAACATGATTCTCAGCTCAATTTCTTTAACACATGAAAGTACATGGATAATGCCAAGATTATTTGACTACACAATTCCACAGAAGCAATTACGTCACAATTTCTACGGTGCACGCCCACACGCTCGTCACCTAGCATGTGCATCCCCTCTAAAAAATCATGTAACATATATTTTCGGGGTTTATACCCTTAGTTCCAAGTTTAGAAATCCTACTTACCTTGAACAAGCCAAATCCAATACCGAGAAAGCCAAACGATGCTCCCAATTAAGCCATATCGCGCGTACCAACCTCCGGACGACTCAAAACTAGCTAAAAGCAACTCAAATGCATCAAAAGAAGCCCAAGGAAACAATTCCAAATGAAAATGCCAAGTTCTTAATCAAAAGTCAAAAATTCAACTCAAAAGTTAACTCCTGGGCCCACCTAATACAGGTAGAGTGGATATTTGGAATAGACCCTCAGCTCGGAAAGGGTGAGAAGAAGAAGAAGAAGAAGAAGAAGAAGAAGAATAAAAGCAAGAAAGGAAGAGAGAGGGAAGAGAGAAGAAAAATATGGAGATAAAGGATAAGTAGGACCAATAAATATCAACAGGGAATACAATACATAAGGCGAACAAAACCACATAACGCAATAAAAATCTAAGAATATGATGGGACATGCGTGCTACTAAGACTATCGGTGAGCAACTAAAAAACTACCCACTAACCTTCTACCCTAATCCTCGACCTCCACACCCTCATATTAAGGGTCATGTCCTCAGTGAGCTGAAGCAGCGCCATGTCCTGTCTAATCACCCCTCCCCAGTACTTCTTAGGCCTACCTCGGCCTCTTGTCAAAGCCGCCATGGACAACCTCTCACACCTCCTGACAGGAGCATTAATACTTCTCCTCTTGACATGTCCGAACTATCTCAACCTCGACTCCCGCATCTTTTCCTCCATGGAGCCTACTCCCACTTTGTCCCAGATACCTTCATTCTTGATCTTATCTCTCCTGGTACACCCACACATCCATCTCAAGACCCTCATATCTGCTACTTTCATCTTCTACACGTGGGAGTTCTTGACTGGCCAAGATTCAACCCCATACAGCATAGTCGGTCGAACCACCACTCAATAGAACTTACCCTTAAGTCTCGGTGGCATATTCTTATCAGATAAAACACCAGAAGCTAGCCTCCATTTCATCTATCCCGCTCCGATGCGATGTGCGACATCTTCGTCAATCTCCCCATTACCTTGGATAGTAGACCCGAGATACTTAAAGCTAGCTCTCTTGGGATAAATTGAGCATGAAGCTTTACCTGTTTGTCAGCTTCATGGGTCCCATCACTGAATTTGCACTCCAAGTATTATGTTTTGGTTCTGCTCAACTTGAAACCTCTAGACTCCAAGGTCTGTCTCCAAACCTCCAACCTCGCGTGAACTCCTCTTTGCGTCTCGTCATTCAAAAAATATATCAACGGCAAATAGATGCACCAAGGCACCTCCCCTCGGATGTGTCGAGACAATACATCCATCACTAAGGAAAATAAAAATGGGCTAAAAGCCGATCCCTAGTGCAGCCCCATCACAACAAGGAAATGCTCCGAGTCACCATCCACAGTCCTCACCTGAGTCTTAGCACCATCATACATATCTATAATCACCCTAATGTACGCTACCGGAACGCCGCTAGCCTCCAAACACCTCCACAGGACATCCCTCGGGACTTTATCGTACGCTTTCTCAAGGTTAATAAACACCATATGCAAGTCCTTCTTCCTCTCCCTGTACTGCTCCACTAATCTTCTTACAAGATGAATCGCTTCCGTAGTCGAACGCCCCTGCATGAATCCAACTGATTCTCGGAAATAGACACGCACCTCCTTACCATGGCCTCCACCACCCTCTCCCAAACCTTCATAGTGTGACTCAACAACTTGATACCCATATAATTGTTGCAATCTTTTATATCACCCTTGTTCTTGTACAGCGGAACCATCGTACTCCACCTCCATTCTTCGGGAATCTTCTTCATCCTCAAAATAATATTAAACAACCCAGTGAGCCACTCTAAGCCTGCTCGGCCCGCGATCTTCCAAAATACCGGGATTTTGTCTGGCGCTGCCGCTCTGCCCCTGCACATCTTTTGCATCGCCCCTTCCACCTCCTCTATCTTAATCCGCCTACGGTACCCAAAATCCTGCAAACTCTCAGAGTGCCCCAACTTACCCAGCATAATGCTTCTATCCCCCTCCTCGTTCAATAGTTTATGGATGTATGTCTGCCATCTTCTTCTAATAAGTGCCTCGTCCATCAATACTTTTCCATCCTCTTCATTAATGCACTTGACTTGGTCTAAGTCACGGGCCTTCCTCTCCCTCACCTTGGCCAACTGGTACAACTTCTTATCCCCGAGCTCCTCGTACAAATGAGCAAATGTCGCGTTTTTAACCGTCGTAACTTCTAACTTTGCCTCTTTCTTTGTCTTTCTGTAACACTCCCAATAAGTCCTTCTTTCAAATCCTTGTTTCTACTCTCCACTAACTTCAAATAACTAGCTTTCTTGGTTTCCACTTTACCTTGGACCTCTCCATTCCACCACCAGTCCCCTTTATGGCCCCCACAAAAGCCCTTCCTGACCCCTAAGACCTCTCTAGCAACTTCCCTAATGCAATTCACAATCATGAACCACATACTAGACGCGTCCCCCTACTCATCCAGGCCCTCATAGCTAGTAACTTCTCCCCTAACTCCTGATCTTTTTCCTTGGTCAAGTTACCCCACTTGATCGTAGGTTGCCTGCACACCGCCCTCTTCCTCCTACTCCTCTTGATCTCAAGTCCATAACTAGGAGCCTATGTTGGGTCGTGTGGTGCTCACTTGAAATGACCTTGCAATCAGTGCACGGACCGTTATCATATTTCCTGCCGAGAAGATAATCAATCTATGTCTTGCCCATCGAATTTCGAAAAGTGACTAGGTGCTCCTCCCTCTTCGGATCGAGTTAGCTATAACCAAATCAAAAGATCTATAAAAATCGAAAAGTGAAGTACCTCCCTCATTCCTATCCCCAAAATCGAACCCACCGTGCACATCATCATAACCCCTAGCACTAACCCTAATATGGCCATTAAAATCTCCGCCAACGAACAACTTCTCAGTGTGCGGGATACTACACACCACCTCGTCGAAAGCCTCCCAAAATTGCTTCTTGACCTCTTGGTCCAAACCTACCTGGGGAGTGTATGCACTAATCACGTTTACAGTACACCCACCAACTACAAGCTTAATACTCATCAACCTATCGTTTACCCTCCTAACCTCGACCACGAGCTTCCTGAGATCCCTATCAACTAAAATACCTACCCTGTTCTTACCCCCCATCACTTCCTGAGTACCATAGTATAAACCTGTCTACATCTCGTGCCTTGGTACCCTTACATCTAGTCTCCTGAACACACGCTATGTTGATCATCCTCTTCTCAAGAATCTTACGTAACTCTGTGGACTTCCATGTCAACGTCTCAATATTTCAGGACCCAACTCTCAGCCTAGAGGCTTTCTTACCCCCCTTCCCACCCCTAGACCCCACTCCCATCCCACTCGAGGACATGACCTTACTCTCACATCGTTCATTGCCGCCACTATAAGCAAGAGGTATAAGGTAAAAGCTACCACTAAGAACAAATAGCTGGAATGAAGGAAAACAAGCTAGGAATCCGAGAGCTAAAACACTCAAAGGCGCTACTACGAGAAAAGTAACGCGAGTAGGCACCGGAACAGTGAATCTACCTCGTCTAAGAAACTACCACTATGAAAACAAAGAATTAAAAGGGATAAACGAAACCTTGAGCTTAAAACATTAGTAACAAAGATAGAAAAACAAGCAAATATTGTCTAGCAAAAGCAATCAATCCAACTACAGGCTACCGGCATGGCAACCAAAACTAACAGATGTGTACACAAACAAAAATTTTCGGCAAGCCAATAGTAAGCAGATGTGCACAAATACAGTTCAAGAAATATGGAACCTGGATTATAGTCGGAGATGTACGGATGCATTTCCCAATCCGCTGAATGTTGCTATCTCCCGAACCCATGTGCTTAAGCCTGGATAAAATTGTCTCTCCCGCCCTGTCCATAATATAAGACAAAAACCACAAACTGCCTGGGTCGCCACCTAGGGAGACTGGTCCGGGCAATAAAACGGGACAGTAGAAGAAAGGAGAAGGAGTAGAGGTAGAAAGGAAAAATAAAAGGGACAGTAGAACAAAGGACTGTAGGAGAATAGGTGTTGCCGGCAGTTTAGGGTTTGGGGGCAGAAGAGATTAGAGAGAGGCGGGAGTGAAAGAGAAATGTGGGAGATACTTGGGACCTAAGGTTACCGCCGACGGCAGGTTATTTTTGGTGCCCAGCGACTACTACCAAGAAACAGGGAAAAGGGGAAAGGGGGAAAGAGATCGAGAGAAAGAGAAGGGGTGTAAGGAACAAAGAATAGGGAAGAACGAGAATAGGAGGAGAAGAGAAAAGAGAAAACCTTACCTCACCTGCGTCTATGCGTGAATTGTCGCCGGAAAGACGTGGCCGGCAGAAAATTTCAGAAGCAATGTTCTTTAGCGTTAGAGAGAGAAAAGTCATAGCGTTCTAAACTTGCAAAATAACGGAATGTTGTGCACGAAAACTAAATACAAAATATTATTTAATTTTAAAACTAATAAGCAATGAGTTCACAATTATGCCATTAGATGTTTCATTTTCAAATGTTTCTAGCAAAAAAATAAGGATAATTTTATCCTTTTGATACTCTAGTCAAGTATAAGTTATACATGAACTAGTTATTTCGTGCTGAGAGTGATATAAAGTTATACCAAAATTAGTGTATAACTATTACAACTTCCTTATACCATGATTATGTTCTTCAATACATCAAATGAAACGATTCTTTAGTGTATAATATATGTATACCAATTAAAAAAACCGTAAATCTCATAAGTTGTTTATGTAAAAATCCCTAATTTAGGGGGTTGAATAAATTTGGGCCTAGAACAATCAAAGATGAATTTGTTGTCGGATAATAATATTAATAACACTTTTTGATTTACGTAAGAAGATAAGAAGAAGTTAGATGGATCGGGAATAATGTGACAATATAAGTTGAATACGTTGAGGAAACAGTAGAGTAAGCCAAAATCTGAACATGTATAAGATAAAAGGAAATTTTACCTTCTATGGTAAAGGTATACACCCTATTTATTATGAACCAAAATTATTTTAAAATATTATTTTCTATAGTTACCTTTTATATTTTATAGCAAAATAAGTATTAGTGGTATATACTACCATTGAGGCATGAAATACGCTATTTATGTTTTTCTCTCTTTTAGACAGCTGGACATACCTATTTATATTGTCGCTACTGTATTCATGAATACAAGAAGCGAATACATGCGAATACATGCGCGTACAACTGGTGTGCCCTGATTTTAGGCACTTTTTACTGCTATATTCATGAATACAGCAACGCGAATACATGTGAATACATACACGTACAGCTGGACTGCCCTTATTTTAGGCGCTTTTTACTGCTGTATTCATGAATACATGCAACAAATACATGTGAATACATGAGCGTACAGCTGGACTGCACAGATTTTTGGCACTTTTTACTGCTGTGTTCATAAATACAACGGCGTGAATACATGTGAATACATGTGCACACAGCTGGACTGCCCTGATTTTAGGTGCTTTTTGTTGCCCTATTCATGAATACATGGCGTGAATACATGTGAATACATGCGCGTACAGCTGGACTGCCCTGATTTTAAGTGATTTTTACTGCTGTATTCATGAATACAATAGCGCGAATACATGTGAATACACTACCGCAACAACTGAATAGTAGCTATAGAAAGTAATTATGTATATGGTAGCTATAGGAATTTACTAGCCACTAAACAATAGTGGTTTCTGAAAATTCCTCTAAGATAAATAGGCCAACTATTAAAAACAAAAGAGAAATCTACGTGGTATGATTACTCGAACACGGTTAACATCATACATAATTAAATTTTTTATTTTATTTTATATATCTACTTTATTGAATTATTTTACCTTGTATACTTATTTTATAAATTTATTTGACTATGTATACCTACTGTTTTCTAAATTAAATACTTTGTATACTAAATTTGAATATTATAATATGTTTAGTTTTCATATTGTATTTCAAAAAAGAATAATGTAGTACGTTTGGTTTGAATAATATATTTCAAATTCAAAAATTATGAAATGTTTGGTTTGAATATTATATTCTAAGTTAAATTTTTTTGGTATGTTTGATTTAGATACTGTATTCCGAATTAGAATGTTATAGTATATTTGTTTTTAATATTTGTATGCGGTAAAATTGGAGGGTTCAATTTTTGGCCATTATAACGCCTCGTAAGCAAACTTTCCAAAGGCTCGAGACTACGGTCGAGATTCATCCCAAGGGGCCATCGGTGTCCAACCTCGAGGCAATATAAGTCGACGGTTATGGTAAAAAGTGGGAAGTTCCCTAGGCGCACGACTAGAGCTGACAAAGTCTAGAGGGCTAGCTCTTACCCGTATCAGGGCATTAAGTGGCTATACCTGCCCCATATCTTTGTAATTAATGCATTTGTACTATGTTCCCCCTCATATATAAAGGGGAATCTTTGTCATTTTGTTACGATCTGTTGCTCAATTCTAAATACATAAGAATATTCTCTCTGCTCTATAACAGATTCTCTTAAGCTCTTTACTCCCGTTTATTGCTTATATCCATTGTGTTCTATTTATTGTTCTTTATTTATTGCTTATCGTTGATCATAAAGAGCCATCACCGTAGCTCCCATAAAGTGTTAATCCTCCCTCGATTGTTCTAAGCCGGTCACCCTAGTCGACCCCGAGACTTTATACACGACAGCTCGAGGCCCCAATCTCCGACTGTTAGGTTCGTCTATCATACTGTCTCTAAGCTGCAATCTTGATTTCTAGTCTTTTACTTAGCATCCATTGCGTAACAACCACCATAAAAATAGATCACGTATTTTTAGAACCACAAAGTCAAATTTAATTATAATTACTATTTTCACGTTAAACAGTTTGGCGCCCACCGTGGGGCTAAAAATAATAGTGATTATTTTCTTGTTGGTTTAATTACGTAACGCAAGTTATCTTTCACACTTTTTCTTGTCCAAGATCTTTGATTTCAGGTCAAAATGTCTAACACAGTAAACGCACGTGAAAACATCGACCTTGAAGACCGTGGGAAAATGGTGTTGACGTCCCAGGTGTTGATGTGCCACCACAAAACCCTGAGAATGCACCAAAATCAATTCCCGTGGACGAGGTCTCGCGCAACGCTCAACACGTCGAAATAAGCTCCCACACCAACAGGAGCATACACTAAGAAGGTCAACAAGAAGCTCAAAAAACCCCAGCTAGGGGAGAACGAGAGGTTGGCCTTCATGTTATTTTTGAAATGTTACAGGCACAACAGCTGGCGATCGCTCACCTGCAAAGTCACCAGAAAAATCCTAGCCCGGTAGTACCGGGGACGGCTCCCCTAGCCGAGCAGGTACCAGAGAGGTCAAGCAACAACAGGTCGACAGTCGACCCCGCCATCGTAAAGATGCTCGAGGACCTCAAAAAGAGGATCAAGTCGGGCGAGAAAAAGATAGAAGCCAACGACAAAAAGGTCGAGACCTACAATTCGAGGGTCGACCAGATTTCGGGCGCACCCCTGATCCTGAAAGGTGTGATTCAAAGAAGTTCGTGCGAAAGTCGTTCCCGCAGGAAGCGGCTCCGAAACCCATTCCGAAGAAGTTCAGAATGCCAGACCTTCCGAAGTACAAGGGAACCTCAGACCCCAATGAGCATGTTACTGCTTACACTTGTGCAGTGAAGGGCAACGACCTAAAGACGACAAGATCGAGTCCGTCCTACTGAAGAAGTTCGGAGAAACGCTTTCTAAAGGGGCAATGATGTGGTATCACAACCTGGCCCCAAACTCGATAGATTCATTTGCCATGCTGGCAGATTCTTTCATAAAGGCACATGCTGGAGCAATCAAAGTAGCAACTAGGAAATCTGACGTCTTCAAGATCAAGCAGAGGGAGAATGAAATGGTACGAGAGTTCATATCTCGCTTTCAAATGGAACGAATGGAACTACCACCGGTCTCCGACAACTGGGGAGTGCAGGTCTTCACTCAAGGTCTGAATGAATGAAGCTTGGTGGCTTCGAAACAGCTGAAACAGAACCTAGCCGAATAACTGGTCGTGACTTGGTTGGACGTCCACAACCGATACCAATCAAAGATCAGGGTCGAAGACGACCAACTAGGAGCCCCCTCGGGCTCG